AGCAAGAGGAGGAATATGGGTTTTTTGTCATCATAGCTAGTGCTCCATACGTTTTTTGTACCCTAAACAAATAATCAATGAGTTCAAAAAAAAAAAAAAAAAATAACCCTAGCTTTAAGTCTATCATCAGCAACCAGAGAAGAGATGTTATCAATATATTCGTTCTACTTTACTTTTATCTTTTTGAGTCTTTTTGACTATCTCCGAGACAGAAGTTTACACGACCTAGTGTATACTTGCTTGACCTTCGAGTTACCTACCCCCTAACACCTCGGGTCTTGGCTGCCGAAGTGAGGAAAGGTTGAACTCGAGCGATGCAATGATGGTAACCCTCAGTAACAAAAGCATTCTGGAGTGTTTCAGCACTAGCCTGTACTTTAGCAATTTCTGCAACCTGAGTTAAGGGCAACCGGCGATTTGCTTCACTGGCAGTAGCAGTAGCTACTAGTAGTCTCCGAATAAGTCTAGTGATGATCCTTGGCCAACCTATTTTCTTTTTCTGAGGGGTTGCTGGTGCCTGGCATATAGAATAGACTGTACTCGGGTATGGTCATTAAGGGCGGAAATATTTGAGTGGCAAGACAAGGATCACAAGTGCTGATCAAGGTGGGTGGGTGGAAGGGAAGGAAGGATTACAGGAAGCCTGTAACAAGGATTGTCGCACCGAGTGATCGGCAATGATCGCAATTGATCAAACAAAATTGTAGTATTCATAGAAGATTCGTTAAGCAATTGCTTACAACTAGAAGGATTGACAGCTTAAGAGAAGGTAATAAAGAAAGACAGAGCCTAAAGGTAAAATAATAGGATGCTAAACGGGGGGGTATGAGAGCTAAAAGATAAACTAGGAGAGATAATAATCGAATAATTTAAACAAAAAAATATGAACTACACAGAAAACAAGAAGATAAGAATACTAGTACAGAAGGAAAAAGGTGTGAGTTAAGTGAGAGGAGATGTTAAACCAAGAGCAAAAAGTGAGAAGAAAAAAAGTTCTGTACTCGCACTCCTCCAATAGTACTCGTGCAACTCCTCCGGGCAGTTAAAAGTGAGAAGGATGATTCGGAAGCAGAGTGGTGAGAGAAGATTAATATACTGCACTATCAGGAGGTATGACCTCCATGATGAAGTAGAAGTTCTTCAATACGTTCAGGGAGTGAAGAGGTGAAATTTAGGATCTCGCCTGGTGTAATCCAATCCCATTCTTCTTGGATTGCGGTATATAGGGCAGGAACAGTGGTAGGTCTAGGATGCCGGTTCTGAATTCGGCGCTTTAATAGCTGCCAGATATTCTCGACCGGGCTCATATCAGGAGAGCTAGGTGGTCAAGGGAAAGTATATGGCCCAATACCAAGCTCTTCAAGAGCTTGTACTGCATGCTTTGAACGGTGAGCTGCAGCACCATCGTGCTGAAAGTATAGATAGCCAGAGTTAGAACTACTGGCCTGCTGGAGGGATGTATACCAAGGATAGAGGTGGGGTCGAATTATCTTATCAATATAGGTGGATCCATTAATTCTTCCCCAATTTGCGGTATCCCAAATAACAAGCGGTCCTTTAAGATCACGGTAAATAGCTACCCAGACCATTACAGTTGTTAGACGAGGGAATTTTGGTACCAAACAGTCTTCGAGATACTCCTCTCCTGGCCTCCGTGTGACCCAAACTGTTCCAGGCATATTTCCCACAGAAAATGCACATTCATCTGACCAGATTACATCTTGCCAATCTTCTACCTGCCAGTCCCGGTATGTCTCCGCCCAGGTTTGGCATTTACTCTTAGTTGCTTGAGAGAGAAATGGCTTAACTCGAGCCACCCGACAATGGTAGCCATGCCCTGCAAAGATCCGCTTCAGTGCTCGTGCTCCAATACTCACGCCTGCTAGGTCAGCAATTTGTGTGAGTGGTAGGCGGCGGTTATGAGCATTGGCAGTGGCAAGACTGATGAGTTGATGCTGAACCTCCGGAGAAGTAGTAATTGGGCGACAACGGTGGAGGTAAAGATGTCTCTCAGGTGTATTGCTGCTATGAATAATGCGATGGAGGGTACTAAGAGGAACTTGGAAGGTGTTTTTTAATTGAGCATAGCTCCAGCTGGCATGAATCCGGAGTCCTCGTACCATAGAACGGGTTTCAAGAGAGGGATTATGGCGGTGCGAAGCTGGAGCAGTGGGAACTTGAGATACGGAAGAACTCTCTCTAAGAGCTAGTGGTGGAGTTCGAACTGGCTCGTACTCGAGATCATTGTCTTCATCGAGTATGGTAGACTCTGATCCGGCTGTTCTACTAGGACTGCTTGGAAGACTCTCAGAATGAAAAGAAACCATCATTCGAGTCTCTATTTCCTCAGCAGATAGACCAGAACTTCTCTGACCCCCTGGACCAGACACATTATGCCATTCAATATAGTCGCCGAATGACATTGATTGAGTCTGGTCATTAGAGGTCCCCGGCGGTGTGGAAGGATTTCTGTAGGGTGGAGGGGTAGGACTGAAATTTCTGTAGGGTGGGGAGGTAGGACTGAAATTTGTCCTTGAGATAATCCTAGAACTATCACAAGGCTCTGCACTGGGGCCGGACTTGAACTCGGAGGTAAGATTTGACCCCGGATCAGGAGGAAAGGAGGTGTTATCTTCAGTCATGATGAGGATTTTGATATCGATCGCACTATAGCAAAGAACTAAAGCCCGCAATGATGATAGTAGAAATCTGCCTGGCCATAGCTTTTTCTCATGCGAGAATTACTTGTAGTATTTATTCTGTTATAGACTACAAGTAAGAATAACCTAAACAATCCAGTTTTTCTGAAACTTGTAGTAGAACAGCACCTAAGGGCAGCTATTGTCAGTCTTGAGATCATAGTAGCATCATTTTCTTAGCCACTTACTCACAATATCATCATAAGGTATATTTCACGGTATTAAGGTACTTCATTCTTGTGATCCCGCTTCCTGATGTCTGCCAAGATGAAAATCTTTCCACTGAGGCAACCAGTCTCCTGACTCTCCCGCATGACCCTGCCGATCTTTTTTTCCGCCCTTTATGACCATACCCGAGTACTCACAGCAATACCAACCTCTTGCGCAATATGGCAACAAGACCAAGCCGCATGCTTGCGCAACCCCCTGATTTTAGAGCGGAGAGAAAAGGTGATGGTAACAAACACTCGCTCAGGAGCCTTAGATGATATGGTAGTAGTAGGAGCCATGATTCAAGTTTTTCCTACCTATCTTCCGTCTCTTTTTTCAAACAAATTGTCCCTTTTATTAATGTTTTTTTTTTCCCTTTCAAAGCAGGGGTTTTTTTTTTTCTTTCCTTTTAAAAAATGTATTTTGTTGGTGTTTCCGATGTCATCATACTAGTATCATAGGACTATTTCTACCATCACGATACCTCTACTTACTACACTCCCTATGTTATTCTCATTGAACCCTTGTAATTATCCATCAGCATCGTCATATCGAAGATGCATCGTCATATCAAAATGTGTCACCGTTCTCTACTTTGTCTTCGCCCATGTTTATTTAATTGATTACTTGGTATTTGGTGTACGAAAACATCACCCCTGACACTTGTGCCTAGGCCGTTTTATACTTTTGAAAATGAAAAAAAAAAAAAACTTGTAAGGCATGGTAATTACTTTTTTGAAGTGTCGTGCATTATCATGTCCAAGACTATCATGTTTTTTTTGTATAAAAACCACTCCAGCAGTTTAAAGTGTAGTCATTCGGATCCATACCGGTATCTGTCTCATATGATGTCAGGAAAATCCGGACTCCCATTACCAACTGATCCTTGAAAGACTCCCTATCACAAGTAAAATTACCCCCAACCCTCTCAGATTTCCTTCCTCCTGATTTCTATAAGAATGCTTTTCCGTCCCAACTATTCCCGCTACTTTGAGGGGCACCTTGTAACATATACATACAAGTAGATAACACAATTTCAACCCAATAGCCCAACAGTACAGTATGTCCAACTCCAAACACCACTATTTCAAAAAAAAAATCAAAAAAAAATCAAAAGGCAATGAACAGTACTCTCTGTACCTTTGCATAACGACCCTAGAAACCCAACTCTACCTCTCCCACCCTGCCCCCTCCACCTCCACCCCCTCTGCCTCGCCAACCACACTCTCCCGACTTACAAACAAAAATGCTAAAAACACCAGTGCGGCACCAATCCAATACACCCCACTCGACCAAATCCCCAGCAGAAGCATTTGGCCCAGGAGAGCGAGCGGAATCGTCAAGCTCAATCCCACAGTAGCAATCAATGGCGTGGTAAGCAGCATGGCGTACACCCAGCAGTAGTCTGAAATCATTGTAATGCCAGCGTTGATCTGCCACCACCACCACAAGGAATAGTCAGCAGGGAGCGCATTAGGGGGAAACCCGAGCGCACCATCACAATCCACCAAATCCTCGCATCCGGCGGGACCTCGAACCTCTCTACGCCCGTGTAATGTAGTATAATGACGCCGGGCCATAGCCCGAGAAAGTTAAAGAGCCCCACAAAGCCAAAGAACCTAGTCATGTCTATGCGGCCTTCGTGGCCTATACGCACTTTTAACAGGATTGTGTACACGCCGTAGGAGAAGGCGCCCATGAGAGCCATCAGATCGCCAAGGAGGATTTGTCCGGGGGTCTTACTAGCCATTCTAGATAATGGAGAGGGGTGGCTCTGGTCCACGGAGGAGATGAGCGATACGCCGGCAAGTGATAGCACGACAGCTAGGAATTTTGCCCAGGTGAAGCGCTCAATGCGCAAGAGCGCGCCGAGGATGAGGGTGAAGATACTGCTGGTTGAGGAAAGTATTGTGGCGCTGGCGACAGAAGTCCATTTCAGGCAGTACGACTGGAAGTAGTTTGCCTTCTCCCCATTCATTAGCGCTCCGATGCCACACTTATGGGAGGGTTATGAGGGAGCATACAACAAACCAAAGCAAGCAAAATTGCAAACCCAATATTACAGTCTCCCTCTCACCAAGCATATCCTCCCCCTCCACTACCAAGCTCTTACTGACCGCTACTACTCCATCTCCATCCCCACCCCTGGATAACGACACATTCCCCAAACGTGAATATGCCCCACTCCTCCTCTCCCTCTCCCCACACCTTCCCCACCATGCCCGCCATGCCCCGGGGAGCAAGTAGAAGCAGAATGAGCACGTGTTCACATACGTCACGAAATATGGCTTGGTATAGCTCCCGTCGGAGAATATGGCGAAAGTAAGGAAGGTGCTCAAGACCCAGAGAAAGATTACCACGCCGAGGAGGAGGATTCCGATGCTCTTGCGGCGGGGGGAAACACGAATGCAAACCGGCTGCGTCTGCGGCATTGGTTGAAGCGTGTTGGGGCGAGTGGGCGGTGGGGGTAATAATGGGACGATAAAGTCCGGCGGAGGAGGGGAACTCGGAGGAATCGGCGGTGGCGGTGGAGAAACGGGCATCGTGAGACGAGGGTTTGTATCACCCCCTTGTTCTTCCGCTTCTTCTACTTCTTAGTACCCGGACCCAACCCTGTTGTTGAGCGAAATGTAAAAGAGGGAAAGAAGGAGGAAAATACCAATACTGTAGCAAACAGTGAATACAGGAGGAAGCTTGCACACACTTTGCTCACCCATCCATCTATTTATACTATCGGCATATCCCCGGATTCAGCATGATATGATACCGGTAGGAAGAAGGCAGGTGAGCTCGCTATCTATGGTATCATACCGGCACCTATCTCTAAATCCCTGGGTTCGGAGGTTTAGCCCCTTGCAGAACTGCGACGGTAAGGATGGAGGTAGGGTAGGACAGAGTATCGTAGGGCTAGGATACCCTGTGAGGTTGCGATGGGATGGGTTAGGTTGTATTTTATCGTAGACAGCGCAAGCTTTCCTCTTTAGTCTACCTATTGCGAGCCCTGAACTGTGTGCGGGATCAGATTAGATCTATGATACCCATACTCCAGCACCGCTATGATACTCACGTACGGGACTGTACGGTACCCGTTCCCTATGCTTACTAGTATACCGGTAGACTTGGTTAAAGCTGATCCCACGACACGACAATCCGCTTTCACAACAAAACAAACCCACTCGCCATGCTGTGAAATACCACTACAAATGCAAAACCGCCGCAAAATTACCCGTATTATATCTCGTTACAATTTAGTTTGAAGAGCAAGAAGAAAATGAAAATGACAAGTTGAAGATGAAGGTGAAACTCCTCCCCACGAAAACGCCCTGTGTACGCAATGACCCGGCCCAGAATGCAGGTTACTAGTATAGAAAACCTCCACACACACTGCCACCTGAAAACGAAACCTCGTGCATGAAAACGGCCCTCCTGCCATGATTGAGGAGACAGAATGCCCCCTAACAATTACACCCACCACTTTCAATCGGGAATCCGGTATTCACAGTCGGATCAAAGTAGTCGATCTCAGACTCATCTTGTGCAAGGGCTTGTCTCGCGATGGCTGGAATAACCGTCAGTAATCTTAGAGCACATCAGGTTAGGCGTTCAACCGTCGTACCCTCAAATGCAACCTCAACATTCGCACCATCCTTTGCTGAACATTCAAAGTGCGGTAGCTGGCCTTTGGAGAGACAGTATGCTTGTGCCCGCCTATTTGACACCTGCAACTCGTCAGCCCCGCTCGCACCCCACCCGCTCGTCACGGGTTGTGAGGAAAGAGAGCTATAAAGCATACCATCCGTTTGGCCTCATCCACATCAATCTTGTTCCCGAGCACAACCTACATAGTCGGCCGTTAGGCCCTGTGACTATCAAAGGGGATGGATTGATTAATTGATTGATTGAATACTTACGAAAGGAAACGTATCCGGATCTCTCGGTGAAGCCTGAATCAAGAACTCATCCCTCCAAGAATTCAAATTATCAAAGCTCTTTGCATTATTCACATCGTAAACGAGAACACAGCAGTCAGCGCCCCGGTAGAAGGCCACGCCTAGTGACTGGAAGCGTTCTTGCCCGGCGGTGTCCCACAACTATCAGTACACCCCGACCAATCAGCCCACAACCTCAACGAGAGGGGGTGGGGAGCATACAGTCAATGTAACGAGCCGATCGTCGACCATAACATCCTTTGTCAGAAAGTCGGCGCCAATTGTAGCTTTGTAGCTCACACTGAACTTTTTGTTCACCTAGAAAATAGGCATTAAATTCCACGCGTGTGCGACTGACGGGTCGTGTCCGGAGAAGGGAAGGTACATATTGGTTCATAAGCGATGTCTTTCCGACTCCGCTGTCGCCGAGGATAATAACCTACAGTGCAGGCACGCCGTGGCAGTCAGTTCGTGTACCCGTGGGAATAGGTCGGAAAGGTTACCTTGAGGAACTTCTTTCTACTTGCCATAACTGCGTATAAGTGGGTCCGCGGGGGCAAGAGAGGGTTCGCCGAGGTGGGAGGGAGTTGAAGATCTTAGAGGGGTTTGAGGAGAGAGAAGGTGGCAGAGAGGGACAACGGGTAGGTAGGTATGATACTGTGGTTAGGTACGGTACGGTAGGTAGGGTAGGTGAAGACTGTCAAGTCACAGTTCCGGTGACCTTACGCTATCGATAAACGATAACAGAGACTACAATGAACCACAAGTATCATAAAGTACGGGGACAAAAGGGATCGTCCTGCACAGCAACGGCAACCCCACAACCACTATAAATTTACTACCTATGTAACTACAACTACTTAAGATGAACTGAAAATTTGAATAGACATCCATTAAATATAACAAAACTCCTATGTGAAATTGTAAAGAAAAAAAAAATCAACACTTTGTATACCATCCCTTTGCATCTAAAACAGCAGCCACTCTTCTAGGCATTGACTCCCATAGCTTTTCCAAGAATTCTCCTTCAATATCCTGGGTCTAAACTATATCAAGAGCTTCTGCTAGATGTCTTCTAATAGTATCTAGACCCCCCTTAGTCTTGTGAATGTTAGGAAAGTGCTGGTGCAGCTTTTCCTTTACCCTTTTTCAATAGTGCTCAATAGGATTGAGGTCTGGGGAATTGGGTGGCCATTCCATAACCTGTATATGGTTTTCCACAAACCTAGCCATAGTATCTCTTGCAGTATGTATCTTTGCACCATCCTGCTAAAATATAGGATCTCCAACTGTGTTCTCCACCTCCTGCCAGACATCAACTAAACCATTCTCCAAAACTTCAATATACACAAATCTATCCATACTCCTGTCAAAAATAGAAATCAGAGGACCCTTATTTTTACTCCAAATGCAAGCTCAGACCATCAGCTTTATCCCAGGTCCTTTTGTAACTCCTTTAATGCAGTTCTTATGCTACTTTTCCTCAGGTGTTCTGAACACCCAAATACTCTTAAAATCTTTAGACTTTTCAACCCTGCATTCATCACTAAAGATGATTTCCTCAAAATCCTCCTTTGTCCAATTCTTATACTCCTTTGTCCAAGCTAATCTCTTGATAGTATGCTCATCCTTCAGAAATGCTCTTTTTCTTGCTCTCTACTTCTTTATGTTGACTGAAGCCAATGCTCTCTTATTTGTCTTAATAGAGGCATGGGGTACAACATTATTGCATAATTTAGATAATGGCTGATGGTGTCCCTTCTTGGACTCTCTGGCTAGGTGGTGGTAGGTTCTGATATCGATAACTTTGGGTCTTCCAGTAAATGGGAGGTTATTTCCAGCACTCCTCTTTTGATACCAGCTGTGAAAACTTTTAACTGTACTCTGGAAGCGATGTAAAAGCTGTCCAATCCCAGAAATTGCAATATTTTTCTCCCTTAGGGCAACAATTTGCCCTATCTCAAAGTCTGCAAAATAACCTGTCTTTGTAAAGGCATGGTTGTAGAGAGGTGGTTGATTGAGGGGGTGGAGTTTTTTATGGTATTGCTTGATAACTACTGATCGGACGATCCCTTTTGTCCTAGTACTTTATTATACCACTATGGTATTAGTAACATACCAGGGGGGTCAGCGAACAGTTATCCAGTTTATGGAGATCAATGTGGCTTCTAATACAATCAGGTGCATAAAGCTTACTGAATTAGTATGTCCATTCTGTTCATCTTTTTTTTTGCAGCTTAGATAAACAATTTTAACAAATTGTACAGGTGTTCAAAACATTTAAGGAACTAGAGTTGCCGCTTCAGACTCCACGCTGCTATCATTATTTCTAAATGTTCTACTCTCCTCTTCCAAATCTCTTGATTCAATTTCATGAAACAGACTCAGACAACTAACTCCACACTCATTCAGATGACTCACACCACTAGAATCAAATCTATTTCCACGCATTAGAGGTCTTAAAATTAGAGGTCTCAATATAGGACTTGGAGGTCTTGACCTGGGGCTTGGAGGTGTTGACATCGGGCTTGGAGGTCTTGATATTAAAGGTCTTAAAATTAAAGGTATTAGCATAAGACTTAGAGGTTCTGAATTGAGTTTTCTGATAAGAGAGGTTGTGATAATATTAGGTGGCAGCCAATACGAAGTCGGATGGATTGTAACTGGGGCCAATAAGGTCTCTCGGAGAGTGGTCAAGAAAGCTTGTAACAAAAGTATGTATCAAAGTATAACGAATATATTGATAAGATATCTTCTCCGTTCGCTGATGATTCTGAAAGCTGAGGAGTTTTTTTTTTTTTTTTTGGTTTAACTTATTGATTATTTGTTTAGGATACAAAAAACGTATGGAGCGCTAGGTATGACGACAAAAAACCCATATCCCTCCTCTCGCCACAGGAAAAAGCCAACCCCCCAAACCCCTTTGGTATAGAGCCAACCGCACATCTCGCCTCAAAGAAAAGAAACCCAAGCCCGGCTAGATAGACGAACAAGGAAATTCTAACTAAGAAGAAAGCAGGAAGGGCCTGGAAAACCCGTTGAGAAATCCCAAAAAGAGAAAAGAAAGATTAGTAGCTAGCCACGTAGGCCCCGAAGGGCAAGTCCACTCATTCAAGCGGGAAGAGACACACAAAGCACGCTAAGATAGGGGGCCCCCCCCAGACCCACTCCAAGAAGACAGTGCAATACCATGGAGGGAATGAAGAGACCAACGGGCCGTGGGCGATAACTGGGGGGGAGGGGAAGGTGTAGCAGTAGGGTGTCAGCCGATCCGACTGTAGTGAGAGGAGAGCGGAGGGGTAGACCCAAAGACCTTAAACCTCGTCTCTCGGTAATCGCATTCGTGTCTGACTAGGCAGCCTCTTAGGGAAACAAGAGAATGGGGAGATCGAACGTAGCCTGTTGGCTGTTCTCCCCTACTGCAACTGTAGTCCCGGCTGTCTAACGATCGTGGTTAAGGGGTTACCGATCTTGAGAAGGCTAAGTGAGGCCAACTCTGGATGAGGAGAGGACTCCCCACCACCCGGTGGGGGGAGGAGGAAGGGGGAGTAAGG